GAAGTAGATTGCCCCATCTTCCTTCCGAGGAGTGGCTGGTGGGTTTGAACCGCCAGCCTTCTGGTTAGCAGTCAAGTGCCTTTAGCCACTATGCTACCAGAGCTCCCATTCCCTGCATAGTAATAATAATTATCTGATTTAAAATGCCCAATATGAGTCCATTTCAGCTCATTAATGCCTAGAATATTGATCTTTAATTGTTCCATTTCAATTTTGCTTCCAATTTTCCTAGATTCACACTTCCTATATTCCACATTCCAATTACTAATGAATGTTTGTAGCTGTTTCTTCTCAGTTTGAGTCATGCCACTGACTCAAATGAAATGAAAGTCCCAAAAGCCTTACTCCATCCACATCGTTAAGGTCAACTACTTGAAGTACTTTTAGGAGGCAGCTCTCCCCCAGTCATATTTGAGCACCTTCCGACTTCAGGGGCTCATTTTCAAGCACTACGTCAGACAGTGTTTCACTGTTATTCACAAGATTTTCAGTGGCCAATTTTTTCAGAAATGGATGGCCCCAGCCTTCTTCCTAGTCTGTCTTAGTATGGAAGTTCCGCTGAAACCTGTCAACCATAGGTGGCCCTGCTGGTGTTTGAAATACCAGTGGCATAGCCTCCAGCCTCACAGCAACACACAAGCCACCACAGTATGACAAACTGAAAGACGAATGACGGGGAAATGAAATTTGTATTGAATTTTCCAATTGTACATTCATTCTTGGCATTTGTATTTTAGGTTCCTCGTTTTAAGTTTCCAGTTACACAATATCCAATATCTTTGGAAATTTCCACTAGGAATGGACAGATACCAGTTGATCTCCCATATCTGGTTACTGTGACTGAAGTGAATATGAGGGAAAACTGGAAACTAAGTAAGGTTTGCTCTTTCTGTAATTCTTCCATCTTATAAATTATACTACTATTACCTATATCAGGATTTTACAAAGCCTATTTATACATTGGACAGCCACGAGTTCTTGGGAAAAAGAACTTGAATCAGTTGGTGTTCTGGTTCCCTAGTGCCACTCTGACAGGAATATACCACAAATGGGATGGCTTAAACAAACAGGCATTTATTCTCTTGCAATTTGGAACCTTTAAGTCCCAAGTTCAAAGTGCTAGGCTCTAGGGGCTGGGTGAAAGCCCCTCAACCTTGGGGTCCAGCTCTGCCTCCAGCTCCCGGCCCACGGAAGCTAGAGGCTTTTCTTCACTCAGACAGCTGCTGGCTGCTGAGGCTGCCAAGCCCAAGGCTGACAAATAAAAAGCCACAGTCCTGATGTTACCAAACCACATGGCAGGCCATTAATTTAAGTCCATTGTAAGTCCCAAGGTTGGCAGAGCATGGCAGGCTGCTGAGCAATGACACGGCTACATATAGGGTCCAAGCGTGCCATAAACTGGAGACCATTCCCAAGTCTTCTCCTTATATGTAGGAAGCAGACCACCTCCCAAAGGTGGCTACTCAGCTGCTTGTGGTAGATCCCACCATGGAGTTGATTGCCAGTCTCATCATGGGGAATAACTACCA